CACGCTTTACATTCGCTCGTGTTTTTTTTCCTCTTCCCCCTCCGCAAGTCAATAAACGCGGCTAAGCGGGCTAACGTTAGCTAAGCGCCGAGTGAAAAGCAGCTAGGTTAGTAGCTGTAGCCCAGCAGAGGAGCAGCAGCAGCAGGGACACACATGCACGGACCGTGTGGGCTCGCCAACAGCGCCTCGCACATTTTCGAAATAAAGAAAGGAAAAACGGAAAACACGACAACACGAGAGCTCCCTTTTTTTTTTGCCTTAATGTGAAATCTCGCGGGGGGGGGGGAGAAACCCAAAAAAAAAAGACGCGAATGAAGCCACGAAGCTAAACGATGGTCTCGCTCCCGATCAGAGACCTCCTACCAAAACACACCGCGGTTTGCCATTGTTGTTGGTGTCGCGCGAGTATGTGGGATGTGCTGGGGCTGCGCGAGCGCTGTGCGTGCGCCGCGTTGACCATTGAACTCGTAACAGCGCGAGCGTGCGTGTTCGGTGAGACCAGCGCTACAGAGCAGAAAGCAGCCGACGTGCACTGCTCTGCTTCCACGTACGAGCTGCTGTAATGGTGGCACTGTAAACCCAGTGTTTGGGTTGAACCACACTCTGTAGCTGCATCACCTCTGCAGGTGACAAGGATCTCCTCGTGCACGGCCTTTACACACGGATAGCCCCTTACGTCATCACCACTGCTGGTCCTTTTGTAATTGGGTTTTTTTTTTATTATATGGTGGGATCATGGTGGGACCTACATAGCATTAGAAAACACAGATTGTTTTTTTTTTTTATTTTAAAGAAAACTTCGAAGTGCATGTAGAGATGTGAGGTATCTGCTTCTTGAGATTATAACAAGATGAGGATTAGAAACCACTGTGTTATAACAATAGAGCCTCTCATATGTTATGCACATACATTTTGAAGTTTTAATGGAAAATCTAGTAGTATTGGCAGGAGTATTGGATCTAATGGTCTTAGATATACAATATACCTGCCCTGTTGTAATTGAGTAAAGATATTTCTTGTCATCAATATAAAGTGGGATCACCTACATAGCATTAGAAAGCACAGTTTGCTTTTTTATTTTAAAGAAAACTTCGAAGTGCAGAGATGTGAGGTATCTGTTTCTTGAGATTATAACAAGATGAAGATTAGAAACCACTGTGTAATAATAATAGAGCCTCTCGTATGTTGTGCACATACATTTTGAAGTTTTTTCTGTCCCAGCTCCTGAATGTGATTAATGGAAAAAATAGTAGTATTGGCAGGAGTATTGGATCTAATGGTCTTAGATATACAATATACCTGCCCTATTGAATTTGAGTAAAGGTATTTCTTGTCATTAATATCAAGTGGGATTACTTACACAGCATTAGAAAGCACAGATTGCTTTTTTTAAAGAATACTTTGAAGTGCATGTGGAGATCTGAAGGACTGGGGATGGTGTGCTATTTGAGATTATAACAAGAGGAGGATTAGAAAACATTGAACTAATGGAGCCTCTCATATGTTCTACACATACATTTCAAAAGGTTCTTTGGACCATCTGTCCTTGCTCATAAATCTGATCAATGGAAAAAATAGTATTGGATCTAATTTGATACCTCCTGGTTAAGTATAATTTCATAAATTGCTTCAATATACAATATACCTGCCCTGTTGTAATTGGGTAAAGGTATTTCTTGTCATCATTATAGGGTGGGATTACCTTCAGCATTAGAAAGCACAGATTCCTTTTGTAAAGACATCTCTGAAGTGCATGTGGACATCTGAAGAACTGGGGATGATGTGCTATTTGAGATTATAACAAGATGAGGATTAGAAAACGTTATGAAATGATAACTAACACGATGGAGCCTCTTATGCAGATTCATTTGGAGGATTTGTTTGAGCATCTGTCCCTGCTCATAAATGTGATCAGTGGACAAAAATAGGAGTATTGGATCTCATTGTGAAGTAGCCTATCATTTCATAAATTGCGTAGATATTCAACATTCTTGTCTTATTGTTAATGGGTAGCAGTATTTTAATATATGATAGAATCACCTACATGGCAAGATTGCTTTTGAAAAAAAAGAAAACTATTGTCATAGGGTAAAGGTATTTCTTGCTATTAATATTAGATGGGATCATCTACAAAGCACAGGAAAGCACAGATTGCTTTTGTAAAGAAAAGTTTGAAGTACATATGGTCATCTGAAGGACTGGTTATGACGTGCTATTTGAGATAATAACAAGAAGAGGATAAAAAAACATTGTGTAATTATATCTAACACGATGGAGCCTCTGCAAAATGTTATTCACATACATTTTTAAGGTTTATTTGAGCAAATGTGAAGCTTCTTGAAACTGTTCCTGCTCATAAATGAAATCAATAGAAAAAAATAGGAGTATAGATCTAATTTGAACTCTCCAGGTATCAAGTATCATTTCATAAATTGCTTAGATCTACAACATGCCTGCCCACACATACATCGTTACATTTGTCATTACTGCTCGTATCTCTCTCATATATTTTCTTTATAAAACAAACATTGATACACCTCTCCATTTATGTTAGACACTGTTTTTTCTCCTGAATGTTGTTTTTTTGTCGATGTGCTTTGTTACACGTGACATCTATTGCTGTTATTCTGTCCGTCCTAGCAGAGGGATCCCACACACTCTCTCTGAGGTTCCTGCGTTTTTCCCCCTGTTAACAAGGTTTTTGTTGGTCGTTCTGCCTCACTCTAGTCTGTGGTAAAGGGCTGAGGATGTTGCACCTTGTTAAACCCTGTGAGGCAAACTGTGATTTGTGAATATGGGCCATACAAATAAAATTTGATTGTTTAATTGATTAGTTGTGCCTTAAAGTAAAAGCCCCAATACCCATCTGTGTGGGCACATTGCAGCGACACCAAGAGCAATATTCAACCTCCACGCAGAGCAGACAAACCTACATCATTCTGTCTTAAGACCCTGATGAATGAAACATCCCATCAGTTTTCAGTATGAAAATGTTGACAGCACAGATTGAAAACAAGTGTCCTTGTTTTTTTGCAAACTGGGCAATTCTGCTGTAGTTTATCACTCAGATCAGAGAGACAGCTTTCCAAGACGAATGACTGGCTGAATGGATGTGGAGGAGCGCCGCAGCCAGTCTTGCTGTAGCGAGGAGGAGATGATGGGTGTGCATGAGGGAGTAGGACCAAACTGGCAGTGGTTTATGCTGACTCTCCACACATCCATCTAGTACAATCTGTGGCTAATCAATCTAAAGTTAGAGACAAGGATAGAGAATACAGTAAACCTAAACAGTAATTGTTCATTGAATGTGCATATAACACAACTCACATTTCAGGCTTCTTTGTTTTGTTGGTTTTTAAGCCCTTATAAAAGTTGTTCCCACCGCAACCGACACTAATCTGTAAAACGTCCGGGTTCAAATAGGAAAGAAAACAATTTACATATCTCATACATACAGCGCAAGATCCAGTAACTACTTAACTTAGACATCCCTCATTTGCAGAACTGGATTCAGTTACTATGCACCATTTAAATAGAATGATTTACAAACCTTCCTCAAACTAGTCTTGTGTTTCCCTTGGAGATTTTAAATATTTACTATTTGATGTTTTTTTTATGAATCTTGTTACTGTTTTTATTCATACATTTTATTGTTTTGATTTTTTGTTGCTCGTGTTTGTTGCCAATTGTGAATGTTTCTTGTTCTCAGGCCTCTTTTGGAAAAGAGATCTCAATGTGACTGCCTAATTAAATAAAGATTAAATAATAAATAAATAAATAATTGAAGAGAGATCAAACCTTTTCCTCCTAATTGTCTGCAAACAAGAAAGAAACTGGTCCCACCGTGGGTACCTTTGCATTCAAATTAAACACTTAAAGAATAACTTCTAACACACCATTTACTGGGGCCATTGAGGTTGTTTAAAGCAACACTTAATCATACAAATTTAAGTGAGCAGCAGCAGGGATTACCATCGAACCTCAAAGTCAGTGTCTATCACTGTCAAGGGAGACCTTCCTTGAAAGTAAAAAGAGTGTCAGTGGCTTTGTAAACTTCTTGGTTTTATTGTTGGTGATTCATTTAAGGATCATTTCTGTGAAACCTCTATTCATTTGGATGCTAAAGCTGCCCTCCTCTCACCCCACGAGCATCAAGCCTCATTTTCATCTAAATAAGAATCGATCTCTCCTGCTGTGCACCATCCTCCCTTACTCACAACTCTCATGGTCACAACACTGCTTGTCTTCTCTTAGCTTGTCTCCGTGCTCTCTAGTCACATCTCCTCTATGCAACCACCAGGAAAATTCACCAATTCTCCATGTTTGGAGATCATAACTGCAGAGCACAGAAACCCATTTACTCTGTTGGCGGTGGGAGAAGAGGGGTTTTCCTTCCTACTGTAATTATCAGAGAAACAAATTAAGTAAGAACGTTAATGAGTGAATGGCTCCAAGAGATAAGAGTGATAGTGAACAAAGCTTTGACTGACTGGTACAATGTCAAAGCTTCGTTCTGCATCAGTGACCGAGCCAAACGCAAGAGATGGGGGTGAGTCACTGTGGGGGAGGGGCCTCCTCCGGAATGGTCAGGGGACACAGATGAAGTGAAATAGATGCAGCACCAAAAAGAGAGTAAATGTGACTGAGGATGAGCATGTAAAACAAAGGGACTGCAGGCAAACTACAGAGCAGCATCCCTGTATATTCAAATACTCACCAAGGTTCATTGATATCAATGACTTCCTTTTGTGCAAGTCAATTCTAACTGAAAAACAGGCACATTTTCTATTAGAATTACCCTTTTTTTTTTTAAATGGCATTGTGTATACTCTTGGCATAAGGACTTTTGATAATACCTGTGTAACAGATGCTGTTTAAATGTAACTTCAAATACATTGCATGACTTAAGTTCTTTTAAAAGTAATTGGTTTAAAAGACTGAATCAGTTTTGGTTTGTGATAATCATTCAAATTTTACGAGAAAAGACTCTGAAAAGGGTATTTGATCCAAGAGGAGAAGAATTTTTTTCCCAGTCTTTATTTCATAAAGATACACAGAATGACCAATAATGTGGTTTTACAGGATGTTGTCAAGTCTTCTGTAACATTTGGCCTTTCTCAATTTCTGACACACTCAAGTCTTAATATCAGGTTTTGCAGGTGTGGATGCACTTAAGTCAGATTTAACAAAACATAAAAATCTACTCTGGCCATTAACCAAGCCAGTCACGATACATTTATAAAGCCAACCACTGCCACCTGCTGGTCAAGGACATGAATTGGCTCTATTACCAGTCCTGTTGTTTGCTGAATGAAATGGTTTCACTTGTAGAAAACATGAATTAAATTTAGTTTTAAAAAGACAGAGCAAAGAAATTAAGAAATGACGATCCTAAATCACTTAACAACAATTTAAAATATGTATAAGCTCATATACAATTTATAAAGAGCCAGAGTCTGTTGATGTGTTTTGTCGTTTGTTCTTGCCCCTTGCCTGAGTGCTTATGTGGTTGCAGAGGATACAGGTGCTGCCATAAGGTTTCTAAATGGGTCAGGTGAAAGATCCTGGAATCCTGCTTCTGCCGCTGGTAGGAAAAAGAAACCAGATTACACGTTTATTTGATTTGAGTTTGAATTTATAAAAGTAACAAAATTATTCCACAGAAAAGATTAAAAAAAGAATAAAATTCATTACCCAATCGGCCACTGGTCTCCTTCACGAGTAACTGTGACTGCTCCTTCACAGACAGAAGGTCTCTAACCATCTTACACTGAGTGTCCATCTACAGATTTTTAAAAAAACATGAGGAAAACCATGGTAAAGCAGGTCAAAATAAATTCAATACAGATGTTTACTTCACTAGTAGTGGTTGTCTGTGCACTTAAAGCAACAATTAAAGTTGGGTTTTAAAAATATATCCATAGCTAGAATTACATATATATATACTCAGTGTTAAATCTTAATCCACAATCTTAATATGCAACATCGGTTTTTCAACTTTCAAAAAGTGGAGTCAACTTTACATGCTGAACTACACTACAAAACCAAAGTATCAAGTGAAAGAAAATAAAACTGTTTTGGATGAAAATACTGTTTTTGTTCAATACTATCACTTATAGCAAGAAGCTGACTGAAATGCACTGAAAACTTTACAGCGCAGTATAGGTGTTGCACTTGTTGAATTGTTTTTCAAATATAATCCGACAAAACTGAATGTGTCTTTATTATTTACTTTACTGGCACTGTCAGTTGAGAGCCAAAAACTTGATAAACATTTCAAAGATGCAGAAGAAAGAATGAGCTCCGATTTTTGTGTACGGCATTTAAGCTGATCATATAGTAGCATCTGCTTTGTGTTTTCCCACTCTAAGAGCCAAGAAGCATTTTGTTTCTTCAATGCTAGCTTTACCATAGAACACCATAAAGATGGCATATCACAAATATGTTTTAATTAAAACAACAAATAATTGCTTTTGCTACAATTAACAACCATTTCTTGTATTGTCTGTTAGTAGTATCATAAAAATTTCATTTGAAACTTACAATCATCGCTATAGTTTGAAGCTTGGGCTGCTGTCTACAGAGGAGGCCGTGGTAATCAGGTTTGTTCTGTATGAAAAGGTACTGCGAGGACTCGGCCATACATGAAGAGTCTAATGTGATGCCCCTCTCCTGGCCCTGCTCCACTTTCCTGAAACAAATCGAGAACATGTTATTGACACAAAACTGAGAAGACACACTGCCACATTAACACAGTATTACCAAGATGTTCCTCAGGAAAACTACACACGCTCACCGTTCCACTTCCTCTGCTTTACTCCGGTGTTTGTTCAACAGTGCCTCCCAGGATTCACTCTCAGCCTGGAGCCTTAAACAGAACACAGACTGCTTAATGAAAGGTGATACCATCTATGATTAAGTTTGAATGTATGAAGGATTTGTGTGTGCCAGAGTAATATCCAGAACCACATGCCTGCTGATGGTTTTCTGGACCTTTTCCATGGCTCTCTGCACTGCAGCATCACATGAACTGAAAAATAAAAAAAGAACAGGGATATATATGCACAGTGATAAATCTATCAGTAGCCAAATGAAACAAATAATTATCAATATCTTTCATGCAGTGAAGTGAATATATATTTAAATAGTTACAATACCTGGAGGCACTAGCATGGAGCAGATGAACCTGTGGTTCACTGTGTATACTTTTGGCCAGATAACCCCACTCTTTCTGCATGTGCTCAACTGTACCATGGAGGACACAGAACACAAACATACAAAGTCTTAAACTCAAGTTTTCTAATGTCCTTGAGATATGTGGCATATCAAAAAAAGCAGTGCCAGCACTAACCTTGTTTTTGAAAACGCTCCAGTGAGCTGTTTGGCACAGACTGGAGTGAATTTTGAGTTCTTTCAACAGCCAGCTAGAGGCAAAATAGCTGTGATAAGTCTATCAGGAATTATTAACTGTAACAATAGTCAAATGCAAACAAACCCTCACAGTCTTTTCATTATGACAAAGTATTCTCTCCAAGAACCTCATTAAGAAATCTTCAGTACAGAAGTTAATTACTCTAAAATTGTAACATGAAGTCGCTAAAGATTTAAATTCAAATTTCTGTAAATCACACATTGTTATAATGAAACCACTTCTACAACAACAAAAATATCCGGCTACTTCTTGCAATCCAACGAATGGGACTAATATTTAATCTGGATCTACTGAATTTATATGGTTTATAAGGGCTCTGTTGTATACATTCAACTGTTCCTTTCAAATTAATTATTTTTTCATATTTTTAACTAGGTTAATTCACTATTATGACTCTGTCGTGCTCACCCTCATGGAAGCCTCCATCAATCTCTCGAGCCTTTCTTGATGAGACAAGGATGTGCTTATGCTCCTGCACAAAACTACAGGAAACACATACATGGGCATTAATGGACAAATATCCCCTGACCTGTATTTGTGGATTACCGGGGGCGACACAGACAGACAAGTCACCTTTATATGGGTTGGACAGGGCAGGGAACGAGCGTCTCGTCAAGGTGGCTCTCCTCCAGGATTTCCTGCGTGCAGACGGGCTGACAGAGACACCTGAAGGCCCCTCTGTGTTTTCTATCTTGTCTGTTTCTGGATGTGTTTCTCCTGCATCGGGCCCCTGTGTGGTGGGCGATGGGGGGTCGAGCCGGGGGGATTTGCGTGGTGGGGCTGCGCTGCCCAGGCTCGATGACCCGGGGCTTGTGGAGGAGCATCTCTTCGACGACTGAGCGGCCGAGGTGACTTTAGAACACAGAGACTGAGCACAGAGCAACAGGAAGTGAACCTCTGGAGCGGGAGCAGCTCGTGGACACAAGACAACCGGATGTTATTGGGCTAGTTTCAATGTCAAGATAAATCTCTCACCTCAGTTTGATTCCCAGCGGCAGCGACACTCCCGAAACTACAGGAAAACACGAATTTACAAGCTCAGCGTTACATGTACAGAATATCAGCGACACGAGTAAAGAAAACAACGTTACCACGGTCATTCACTAACACGTCTACGTCAAGTACCGCAAACTAAACTAGTAATTTACACCGGACAATACTCAAACATACGAATGAATGTAGCCGGGAATGTTTAACTTTGCTCAACACGCCACAGACGTCTGTCGAGAACACGTCTGTCCAAAGAAAGAAGCAATAAAAGATACAAACCCGTCGCGTTCTGCTTCCAAATGTTTTTCCGCCATTTTTTCTTTCAAATAGTTCTCTCTCCTCCTCACAGCGCGCGCCCATCAAGCCGAACCCCTCCTAGGAGCTAAGGACCATGGGAAATGTAGTGTGCAAACCGTGCAAAGGAAGGTACAAAGAAAAAGACTAGGTGCTAATTTTTTTTTTTTACATTTTGCAGGTTTACTAATAGAGCATCAACAGTTTGTATAATATAATATAATAAACTTTATTTGTATAGCACCTTTCATACAAGAAATGCAGCTTAAAGTGGTCTAAACATAATATAACATTGTAGTAAGCTTAACATCACACTCATGTCATTATAAGACTAAAATAAAAAAAGTGACAAAATACAGAACAGTATAATTACCTTGTTAGTTTTTTTTATAATAGGAAATCTATGCTTTCCTGGAAACACATATGTATTAACTGAATTAACTGCTGTCACCCATTAGGAATTGCAAAATTCTCCAACGATTTCCTTATGTAAATCATACGACTTCTTTATTTACAGGCCACTAATTAACTGACCAGAATAGCACACTTATGCATGAGTATAATCTAACGTATTTAATAATCTTGTAACTGATGCTTCCCAAAACTCGAATGCAGGTTTGAGGTTTGTGAATCCAAATCTTTCATCAAGTTAAGTAAATCATTTTAGATGAAAAAAGCAATCAGAGTATCTTATTATGTCCAGTATTACCTCTGACTGTGTCTATGTTCTGGAGGCAATTGGCATTTTCTCTTTTATTGTGGTTCTGCCATTTCAGTTGATGATGTTTGCAAATCGTAATTTACAACAACAGGGCTTTCATAAACTGTACATCCATTATCAGTGATTTCCTCACCTCTGGATGTAAATAAAAGACTTTTACCTTTTCAAGTGTAAGAAAAAGCTTCTTTCACTTCATGTTGCTTTTTTTCATGAACTTGTGTTAATAATTATCATTAGACAAATTCCTGTGTTACCTAAGTAACATGGTGAAAAGGTGAGATGTGTGGATTTTTTTAATGAATTTTCCAGACAGGCAATGTGTTCTACAATTAGTTTATGTAAATTCATATCAAAGATAAACAGCAAACAGTTTTTGATCACCTGAGCTCTCATGGTTTTTTGGTAGTTAAAACCATTTGTGTTAATTTAACATGAATTTGACACGTTTTGTTCTGGTCTGTGTCATATGTCCCATGTTTCATTGGGGGAATGTCTACAGCTTCACTGTCTTCATATACTTACTTACCCATTTCTGGGACCAGAATAGTTCATTAATCAGCTGGACATCCTCATCCTCTCAATGTGCAGACACACCAGTAGTTGCATTTGATAAAACACTTGACAGTCATAATTTGTATCTGTAAGTCTTTATAAGTCTGTTAGAGATGTTTTTCACTTTTTACAAAATCAAGGAGAGGAATCAAAAAATCAAAAACACTTCTGCAATTCTCTTAGAGAATGCCCATTTGTGTGCCCGTGTTTTCACTCTGGCTGGCACACAGTCTCGCACTCCACTCAATACTGCTGTCTTCATGGCCTTGTAGCAGTGGGGAGGGACAGATGAAGAGAGGAATAAAGAATTGTAGAAAAAGATAAAGAGTTATAAAGAATTCATATAGAGAATCTAAAGAGAGACAATACAGAAACACAGATGGTTGAGGAAAGGTAGAGTAGGACGAGGGAAGGAGTGGAGTGTACAGTACTGCTCGCCATGTCTGTCTCGACTGCTTTGTCATAACAGCTTCACTTGTTGTCTTTATCCAAAGTCCTCTCTCCCTTTACAGTTTGGTTGGTAAGGGCAGCAGTCGCTGTTGGCACAAGTTCAAGAAGGCAGCCTGAGAGTTCCGTTGCCCAGCAGGAACTGCAGGACACGGTCCACCAGCAGGGCGGCAGCAAAGTCCACCACCAGAACCTGGGCAATGATCATTTTGAACTGCAAGAAAGTAAAGAGCAGGCAGATTACATCATGGGGTACTTAATGACTACAAGTATATAAGAACAAAACACACAGTGAGATGATGTCCGCTTACGTCAGCTGGAATATCTACAAGAGCAAATTGTTCATTGAATTCTGGCGATGAACCAGAGAGAAGTCCCACAATTGCTAATCCTGACAGAGCGATGCTCCATAGAAGTGGTCGATTCTCGCTGAGAGACTCCATGAAGGGGTGACCCTGTCAAACCAAACAAGAAATGCTGTGAATCTATTATACCATAATGAATGCAGAGATAACAAATACTAATGGGACTAAGGTGAAGTACCTTGTAGTTAATGGCAAAGGTGGCCATCTGCATGGCCATGGACATTATATACACGGTGCTGTTGATTAGACTGGGTTCAAATTCTTTGTATAGATCTGCAAACTGCTCCTCTCTGCAAGATTACATTGACAAGATAATAGTTATTATAATGTAACAATTTAGCATTTGAAATATTAAACTCAGAATTTCCATTACTCCCCCATTTTCTTTCTTTCTGTGTTACAGTGATTTACCTGGGTGGACTTCTGCTTTGTGCCTCTTTGTAAAGGTACACCAGACTACAGAAGTGAACAGCAAACTGCAACAGCACAGTCAACACCGTGTAAAGATTGAAGATGTTTGGTAAGGGCCGCTCTCGAGACAACGTTTTGAGTGGCTGTGTACACAGGAGTAAAACAAAAGATATGAAAAACAGTAGAAAGTTAGACGTAAAAATCTTTCAAGGAGAACAATTAACCAGAAACATGCAGAACCTGTAGTTTCTTAAACAAATTCTCACCTTTGATCTAGAGATGAACAGGAAGCATCCGGCCAACAGAAGGCCCTGCAGGGTCGCCTGAAAGTCACTGAATTTGACCCCCTCGAGGTAGAGTACGGACTGGCTGTAGGCCAGCACCAGGGCATTGAGAGCAAGGATTTTAAACATTTGGAGCGTTGTCACTAGGGTGCAACGGCCTTGCTTTATGACATGGCAGACTGTGGACAAAGAAAAAGATACATGGTTCACATGTTGAGTGACCTAATTGTTTAATCAAGAGCTGAAAGCTGAAAAATCCAGCCTCACTTACTGCACTGTATGGACGAGAGCTTGGAGGTGAATGGGGCAGCGATGGAGGCATCGCCGAGCTTCACTACCTGTATCTGATCCTCTTCAAGTTCCCGTAAGACTTGACTGATCCTCTCCTGTTAAAGTATAAATGACCTTTAGACCAGTACACTTCAACTCTATTGGTCAACATAAACATGTATACTCTGTTTTGAGCTATAAATACACAGTTTCCTCAATCTTGGTAAAATAAGTGGAGAGGAGAGTAAAAAGAGGAAGTTACAAGTAAACTATTTCCTCAAGAATCAGGGTGGAGGTCCTTTCTGATGACACACCTTTTGTGCAGCAAGCTGTTCTTCTCTCTGAGCCATCACCCTCTGCCTTGCTGCCCTGGAGCTCAGTTTGCCAACTGAACTGACGGGTGGTAGAGGTCTGGATTCTGCTGCGGGTGCCTCCTTCTCTCTCCCCCGTTTCTTTTTTTCTGGCATGCGCTCTGGGGCGTTGGCCAACAGAGCAACACCTGAAGAAACACAAAGTAATCGTCAGTGCTTACTGTTTGAATCATACGTTTGCACAAAGGCTGGGAGTCCCTGCAGTTGATAAACCTTACCTATGTGGGCGTGTTTGAGAGCGCCGACATCATTCGTTCCATCACCGCACATCAGTGTTACGTAACCCAGCCCCTTAAGACTGGTGATCACAAATTCCTGTAACACAACAGACAAAAACATCCTTAAAATTAACCCTCGGACACATTGGTACATTTATTATACTCAAAAAAAATGATTCTCTAGATTTCCCATAATGCTTCAACAAACAAAATCGCCAACAGCCTGACGCCAGCTATTGATGTTTGAAAAAGTCGGCAGGGGATGTTTAGTCAACTCAATAACAGCTGTGGTTTACAAATTTCAACATAGAGTTGAATATGTTCAGCTAGTTATCGATGGCTGCAGGAAAAAAACTCATCATTACACACTAAATATGACCCAGAAATACAGCGTCTCTCTCTAATGGTTGGCTCTGCTATAGAGTTGGCGTGAAAAGAAAAAAATAATTCACTACTACTGGTTTTGATGAATATACAGCTGTTCTTCTTGGACTTACTTTCTGTTTTGGACTGACACGAGCAAACACTTGTATGTGAGGCAAGAGGGCGTTGAGTAACGGAGGGTCACTGCTCAGTTTGGCCAGCCCCTCCCCTGTTACACACAAGTCAAACTGATGCACAAATGAGGAAACTGAGGGAGGGGGCACTGGTACACGCACGCTGCCATCAATGGATTCCCACTGCCATTCACCTGAAAAACAAATTAACATCAGATGCTCTTCTTTAGAAATACCAATTGAAAATAATCTGTGTGTATTAGCTACAACATTTATTTCTGTTCTCGACTGGTTTACTTGAGCAATACATATAATTCTATGATGACTGGTCTTACTCTGATCGACGCTTGGCTGCAATATAAGTGTGTGTTCTTTCTCAATGAAGTGAAGCTCTCTCGCTACGTGGCATGCCGTTAGAGGGTTGTCGCCTGTGATCATAACAACCTGGAAGCAGAGGGAGATCGATCTTAAAACCATGCCGTTTATGAACTGGTGCACAATTGTGTGTTTTCAGCTTGTTTACATGATGCGATGCTTCCTGGATCTCTCTGATTACTGCCTTGCTGTCACTCTTGAGGGGACAGGAAACAACCATGAACCCCACAAAATGCAGGTCACACTCCAGTGCATCGCGACTCATCTCCCGGACCTATGAAACCCAGAAATATCAAGCTCACTTCAAAATCTACTCAGAGACATCACACAATATCTGATAGTTATGAGAAACGTCAAACAAGAACCTGCTGATGACTGAGGTGTCCCATCTCTTTATAACCCAGGGCCAGCACTCTGGCTCCTTCCTGGGACATTTCCCTGTGGACTTTGTCATAACTCGCTGGACAGACTGAAAACTGCAAACACAGCCACATTAGAACACCAGCATATCCCGTTGAAAATGATAGAAAACAGCAAAGCATGTATTAAGGACAGTGTAAGTACCATTCGTCTGAGTGTCTCTGGAGCTCCTTTGACAGCTGAGATGTAAGAGAGTTCAGTGGAGCCCATTTTCTCATAGGAGGCCAGAACGGACATCCTCTTCAGAGCGCTGGCAAAGTGGAAACGCTGGTGGATCTTTAGTCCCTGGGTTTTGATGCCTCGTGGGAACACCTTTTCATCTGGTCAAAGAGACGAGAGTCAACGAGAAACACATTTAAGCATGACGCCATTGAGAGTAAAACATACCCGTATGTATCATGATGTCACATTTAAAAGTGAAACCATCAACACTTCATTTACTGCAGAACAGCTATGGCTAGAATCCAAAGGTTTCCCGGCATTTCAACAACATAATTACTCTTAGGTTGAATGATTAAATGATACCAAAAGAAAACTACAGATGTGGTGCAACCAGGGAGGCATGTGGAGCTCTTATCCCTGTACCTTTAGTGAGGATCCAGTCAGCAGCGGTCAGCATGGCCTTCTCTAGTGGATCTCCAACCAGCTGTCCATCATCCAGAGTGACCAGTGAGTGACAGGTGGCCACCACCCGATGAGTCTCAACTGGGATCTCAGATACAGGCATCACCTCCTTTCCTTCCCTGTGTCATAAACACAAACATCATTCAAATATCCTCGAGACAGAGTAGTGTGTTAACCAACTTAAACCATAGTAGAGTATGCGTTGTGTTTGTGCTGTATGAATGATGTTCTTTAATAGCAGGCTGAGTGTACCTGAGGCCTGCGACTCCTCGTACCACCAGACTGTCACTGGTCAGTGTTCCTGTTTTGTCAAAACAGCAAACCTCTACTTTCCCTGCAAATGGTATCCTGAATGGCTCTGTACAGAATACATCTAGACAGGAGAAGAAAAAGAAAACCGAAATGAAAGCTTTTCATTTTATCCTGTTTAGTCCAGGTCTCTTTGTATATATTGTAACACACACACACACGACAGGAGCAGAAATAGGCTTACAAAGTTTAGCCAAAGCGATAAGAGATGTGTTCACTGCCAGGGAAAGCTCTATAGGGAGCTCTGGTGGAACCACGGAGGTGAGGATAAGCGTGCATTCCAGAAACAGCTTGTAGCGATTCCTGCTGACATCTTTGGTCCCTGGGGGTGACAATACAAAGTGTAAAGATAGTATTTCAGGATTACTTAAGCACTCGCCACCACCCATCAGCTATCAGCTATCACTGAAACTGTGATAATATCTGTGTTCAATTTAATCTGAAAATGTATTCTATGCACCCCTTACCTTCTACCCACACATACACAGCTGCAGCAATGGCAAACACAAGTAGGAAGAGGATGAAGATGAAGGTCTCCAGGTTGTTTGCCGTCACTCTCTTCACACCAAAGAGGATAGTTCGTAATAGTTTACCCTGGAGGAAAGTTTGCACATACAGTCAGTACATTTTCTCAGCTCTTGCAACACATTAATGTTTTCATAACTGGAATTAAAAATGCATGAAAAGAAAAAGGGGATGTAGTGATATTGATATACTAATCAGCTTTCTTACCTGAGAGGTGTAGAATCCTGTTCTCAATACATAAGCCACACAGCCATTGTCTACAGCTGCACATAAAGAAATGGTTTAAGAGTCTGCACCTTGTTCTGATGATAAAGTTAGGCAACAGGAATTAGCACTTACGTTTGAGTCCAGCACTAGCCTTTAAAGGAGGGCTATGTTGGACCACTTTTGTCCCACCGGAAATGATGTGAAGTCGAGAGTCTGTCTGCAGGTCCAGGACTCGCTCTGGGTCTAAGTCCTCTACTGGCTCCTGCACACCCCAAGTTTTCAGCAGTTATTACAATGCCCCACAAAAAACACATGTAATTTAGCCAACACTCCACCAAAGTCATCTCTGGATAGTGTTATAATGCATTTATTAGTTTGCTACCAACCTTCATCTGGGGCACAGACTCTCCAGTCAGCATGGCCTCATCCACAATGCAGCGACCCCTGAGTAGCAGCACATCACAAGGTACCAAGTTGTCCTGGGGTGATCGTCCTATACAGGAGAGAGTACATGTATATATAAAACACACACTAACAGTGTAAATCTGATGCATATGATGAGATTAAAAACACAGACAGAAAACATACCTATAGAGACAATGTCACCGGGGACAAGCTCGTCACTTGAAATAGGTCTCCACTTCCTGTTGCGATATACCTGGCACAAAAAACATAAAATTGGAATTGTTGAAATGACTGTACATTGTGAATGGAGAGTTTTGCAAGATAACATGTTTGTTTATAACTTCAAATTTGATCAAGGCTACCTGGATCATGTAGGGCTTGTTTCCCATGCGGCGGATCTCAGACATATTTCTCATTTGCTGCTGGACAAGGGAGGCCTCAAACGCAACCAGCATGAACAGTGTGAAAACACTGTAATACCAGTACTCGTCCAGACACCACAGCCCCACACAGAACACCTGATGGGGGACAGAGATAGATAACTTTACATGGATACAGACACTATTACCAGGTTTACAATTGTTACCAAGAAAATTATATTATTATATAGAGAAACTTTTACACATACCTGGAAAACAAAAAAAGGAGCTGTGGCCCTCTCTCTGAAGAGCTCCAGGAAGTCTGGTACTACCATCTCAGCACGATTGGTGCCGTAGCGCTTTTCTGCAGCTCTGAGTTCAGTCTCCTCCTGGTAACCACGGCAAGACTGAAAGTGGCCCATTGGTTGGCAGATGGGAAATGCTATAGGAAGGAAACATTTCTTCTCTTTGTGGTCAAACATGTAGCGGATCTTTTGAAACTCAAAAGATAGGGTCCCATCTCCGTTCTCATCCTGTTGGTCAGCACAACAAATAGAAACAAAATTATTACATTATTCATTCAAGAAAGATATGTTTGTAGATTCACAGATTGGAAAATCCTTCTTTTTTAGCCTTTATACTTTGGACTAATCACATTATTACACAGTAATAACTTGAAACTAACCACTTTCACTGCAAGGTGACAAATATAAGTACTTTTAGAGGAATGCATCAAGATAATTGGACAAAAATAATCACATATGTTAACAGAAAATTATGAGTTTTATCGTTTTTAAACACTGAAGCCATTTCAAACCAATCTCAAGACAGGAGTGAAGAAGCGGAAATTGATTGCAAACAACTGGTCAGATCGAGAGACAGACATAGAATATGACATCTCGGACATGTTCCAGATTACGAGAACTTGGAGCATCCTGAGAGAAACTATATGAACTAACCTGGTCCCTCTGTAGTGCCACAAGCTCAGCAGAGCCATTGTTGGGGGTGGGTATGACCTTTGCTAGCGTAGCCTTGTTTGGACCTGGTTCCTGTATGAACAGGTGACAATTCACACCCAGTGTTATTTTTGGTACAGTCAAGTGGAGCTTTGTCCCTCTCAAATGAGAAATGCCCTGACGTATAGCTGCGTGATCACTATGATATTTGGTGCAGCTTGATTGAGTGTAAGGGGACTGTTGTGCCTTGGTGGAGGTATGTGCTCTACTGCATGCCATTCTAGTTTATTGCTGTGAAGCACTTTTAGAAAAGTGCTATTTAAATAAAATGTTATATTATAGATACAAATGTTGTACAATGAGGGATAAAGAGCTCACTGCACAACTACTCATTGCAAAAAACACTGAACAACATGTCAGCCATAACTATATTCTATTAATGTCTTTAATATTGTGTCATAAAACACAATTTTCCCTCATACACTGGCAGTGCAACTCCAATGCTGCAAGTAAGGTTTGGATGAAATACTCTGGAATGCAAGCTGAAAAATGAAACTGACTTGGGAGAAGTAAGGGGTTAAAGTCACACAGTTACAGCCTGCTTGGCAGAGAGAAAGGATACATAATAAATAATAATACACCATCACAAAACAATGGACGGTATGAACAGGTCGCAGGGAAGTGAAAGGGAAAATGACAGTCTTTGAGCAAGTCATTGATTCCACCTGACTTTTCATCTCAATGCAAAGGAGACAGGGGAATAAACACATGTCTGAATTGCTGTTACTGATGATGTTTACCTTGGAGCAAGTGAGCAAACAGTGCGCGTGCACCGACCAATAACCGGAGAGAGCAGTGAGGACGTGCGCGATCCCGATGGCTGCCAGCGCCAGGAGGCCTGCCTCCGGATACTCTGAAGCCCCGTACACCCCCAACCACACGTACAGCCAGCCCGGGTAGAGGACGGCCAGGAACGGGAGGATGGTGCCGTGCAGCAGCCGGGGCCTCCGCCGGTACAGCGTCACCGAGCTCACCAGCTCGTCGCCGGTGCCGCTGTCATGCTGCTGCTGGTTCACATAAGGGGCCATTTGCAGCTCACCCGGTCTCCGGATCCCGTCTGCGGCCATACTCGCCTCTTTCTCGGCGTCGTTCACGCAACGTTGCTCTCTCCTCCGGGCCCCTCTCTCCTCCACCGCTTCTCCGTCGTGCCGTAACCGGTAAAAATACAATATTTACACGTAGCGGTGCTCGGTCCAGCCTCCGGCGCCAGTTTTCCTCAATTGCTCGTTCTCCGATCCGTGGCTTCCGCATACGTAATCACGCAACGTCACGTAATGGCCAAACCGGAAAAGGCTACTATTGTCTTCCCCCATCGTTAAAGTGCGTCGTTTTGATTAAACTTCTTTCAACTGATGACAAACGAGACAACTCTGACAAAATGTCCTCGTTTGATGTTGAACTATTTAATTTTGCATCAAGTAGATCGCCTAATAAATTCGACGTCATAGCCGGGGAGTGGCCAGACCGCGAGATTGACACAAATGTGAACCAATCGTATAAATGACCCGTGTCACAATGTTGTATTTCTGTCCAATCAGATCGTAACGGGTGTGTACGGTGGATTCACCGCACCGATCATGGCTCCACATGCTCGAACTGTTCCTGTGACCATTGACTGAATGTTGCGCTGTAACCTTCATTGATCAGACTCCTCGTTTGAGACGAGATCAACATGTAAGAATCTTCCTCATCATTAATGCATGTGTCGTGTCCCACTGTCTCTCTAGATATGAAGATACAGTCTGTTAGTTATACGTGAATCAGACCTCACCCTCCACATGAATACTTGTGCTTGTTACAGCAGGTTTATCAGGTCAATTATCTACGGCTGCATGATCAATTACTGATTTATATTCATCTGTAAACTCTCAGGCAGGCTGCTATGGAAATCACGGCAAAGTATTGCCACAAGGAAATGGAGGAATATGGGTCATGTGTGGCCTCCAACCCATCAACATGGCAGCAAAGCTGTCATGAGCTGAAGATGAAGGTCGCACAGTGCACATCATCCCAGTAAGGCATCAAAAATCCCACCTATGTGACTGTTACATCATTCAAACAAACATCACATCTAAAACGAACCCCTGTGTTTTGTTTTGATAGCCCGGTGATCCAGAAGATCAGACAAGACTGTTCTCAGCAGTTTGTGGAATTCGAGCGCTGCCTGAGAGAAAACCAGAACCAACCTACCTCCTGCTCAGCACACGTGGCTCGCTTTCTGGGCTGTGCAGAGACGGTGGATCTCAGTGGAGTGGGTAAGGATCTTGCTGGGATTGGCCATGCATAACTCAAGGTCACATAGGAAGGGTTGATTAACATAAGACAATTAAGCCTGAAGTAGAGTGCAGACCAGACAACAAGGTCCAACAGTCCCCCCATGAAACCACATTTTAGTTCAGTAGATCCAGATTTTTTATTTGAATACGCACCAAATTTTACACTCAGAAATATCAGTCCTCTGAACATGCCTGGTTTATTATCTCGCACTGTTCAAGAAAGTGAAAAGAAATTCCTGAATCAGCCACTGATCTGGATGTTCACCAACATTTAACAGGTTCTTCGTGGAAGTTTCGTGGAAATCCATTCCATATTTTTTGCGTAATCCTTCTAACTAATAGTCAAACAAACCAAAATGCTGATGAAAACATTGGTACACTGAATGGTGGAATATGTCACACATGTAGTGGTGTCCTGGACATTGTTAGAATTTAGATGCAAGAACACATTTGTTTCGTATACTGTATCATGTTTTGGTGATATTGCCTTTATAGCTAACATATTAATAAATTAATTGTCTTTTCCCAGCTTCAAATCCTCCAGCTCAGCCATCATAGCACTGAGACGCCAGCATTCGTTCACCTTCAGATCACACCTGTCACCACAGCAACACAGAAGGTGTGGCCTCACACGTCCACAGGTCCAGCAACTGTATGTGCAGTGACAGTTTGGACATCTGTTTTCCTCTGTGTGCATTGTCCTCAACAATAACAAATAGAGGATCGCTAAAGCACTGTGACTTATAGATGGGTATGGGAGAATATTTAAGTGCTGTGTCCCTTTATCATGTGAATGTTAATGTGATAATAACATTTATACTTGTGTGTAAGTGAGGACGTCTGGTTTGAACCAGATTTTTTGACCAATTTCATTAAAAATCAGACTTGGAGTTCTCATCTGGTGTGGTCATCCTCCATTGTTTCCTGTTGCTTATGTCTGTCCTTCTCACCCTCCCCAGGTCTGAGTCAAAGTCAAATATTAAACTGGAATGTTTCACTCCCCCACAAAGTCTCCTGGCTACTCAATGACTGAGAAACAGGGAGTCTGGGAAGAAAGAGAAAGGAGGAGGAGGCCGTCCAGCTCTAATCAGCAGGACTACTGAGAGAGACAGAGGGAGGATGTTGAGTTAAGAGCCCTGTGACCACTAAGCAGAACAGACCTTTTCTGGTTCAATTATTAAAGCACTGAAGGGGGTAGAGGAGGGAGGTGGCGTTCATTCTTTTCGAGCGTAATGAATTACCTTGGTTCATATCAGATGAGCAAGCGATCACCGCACCTCCATTTATCATATTAAGGACAAACAAGGCAAGCACACGTCAAAGATGAAACCGCAGATTGTATTGAAGATACGGCAACATTACATTCAAAGCACATCACCTGGCAGTCACTGAACAAAAAAAAAGGAAAACAGGATCTGGCCTAAATACCGCACAAATAAGTTACATTCACAAAAATATCACTTTAAAAATACCATGAGTCAGTGATCAGAGTCAAACATAAAGTCATGAAAAAATGTCACAAGCTGTAGCCAATCACAGGCACCTTAATGAAACAGGTACGACCCTATAATCCTATTTTATTCTGCCTCTCCTTGTGAGTCAGATCCCAACGTTTTTCAGGAAACACTCGCTATTCAACTTAAGTTCGGAGGCTATTTCCTTAAACCTACTTTGTGACACATAGATATCATGCTACAGTTTAAATATTTGCTGATTATCACAGAAAAATGTACAAAATATCTACCTAACAACATCTAATTTGTGATGTTTGAGAAAGGAATTATTACAGAAAGTGACTACAACGATTAACTGTAACACAGTCATACTCACGTTTACATTTGGAGTACATCATCATGTACCCAGTAGCCTAAGTTTTGGGCATTAGATATCTATTGGTTCATTTGCTGCGCTGCTTCTTAGCAATTACATGATAAAATAAAAGGGAAAGCAAAAGCAATAATAACTTACACCACCCTGTTTCCGCATAAGGCTCTTCAAATGACCCTGTAGTGTTGTTTAGATGCTTAAAAAATCGGATTTTTTTGGTCCATATTATACCTCACATGCATTATCAAAAACTAATATGGTTTGAAATGATAATTTTACATCTGATTTCTTCCTCTTTACAATCTGTGAAATCAATGGGCGACTTAAATTGTAATCCTATCCAGCACAATATCCTGAGTTATGGCTCAGGTTACATAAACATACACACTAACCTGAGAGCAAAATTGTACGCCAATCCATATACAGTGTTGTATATGCTGCAGTCTTTCACACACAATAATCAATCTCTAGTCCTGTCAAAAAAAAGAACTTACGCAGTGTATTCATTTAATTTAGACCCTTAGCTGCTCGTAAGACTCCAAATACATGTCACTTGATTGATGAATTCACTTTCAACAACCAAATTTCGCCTGTAATTCATGATATAGATATTCGTATGTCTCATAGGTGTCTTTTGCTTTTTGTTGGAAGTGCCATGAAATGCGTTTCATTGAACATCACATAAATACAACAAGAAGAAATTGAGGTCCTTTAACATATCTTGGACATTTACAGTGTCTGTATTTCCAGCATATGATTCTTATCGAGAAACAACAGTAGGGACTTTATGCAAATCTGCTGCAAAGTAATATGACTTGACGTGTAATCTCGGCCTGTGATAGAAGCTCAGAAGTGTGTTTGGGTGTGGGCTATTTCATGGAGAGCGGTCCCACGGGCAATGTTGATGGACTGACTCCATTAGCTGCATCTCTGAGGTGAAAGGTGGATCGGGAGGGGAGAGGGTGAGAGTTTATAAGGGTCAGGAGGTGAAGTAGGAGTTCTGCATGGAGTAGAGACGGTCGATGGGGTTTCCCACCCGCCCTGGCAGGAGACCTCCGTCCCCTGTTGCTAGGAGGCAGTCGCCGAGGTGGCCGAGGCTCCCGTCGCTGTCCAGGTCGTGGAACACGGTCTCTGAGTCTGCAGGGGAAAAGAGTGAGAGTGTGCAGAGCTGAAGTGGACCTGTCTTCATAGCTGTACCAGAGAGCACAGAAAAATATGGGAAGAACATGGAAAGCATAATTTTTTTGCTCAGTTGAAGCCAATGAACTTGAAAAACAGACAATATGCCCTCAGAGTTTAATCTCAGCCTCCATTTTACTGTAACTCAGTAAATGTTTCAAGGGACTTTGGGGGCCCCAGGCAAAAGGGACCTAGGGGGTCCTACATCGAATGAAATGGACCTCTGATTCTTTTATGATCAAAATGACAAACAAAGTGTATGCACATGCATTTCGATGTCTTCAACCAAACCTCTAAAAGTACGAAGCAGAGAACTAGTGGTATGGGGTCTTGATGGGTTTTTTTGATGATGGTGTTATTGCAATCTCCTGTATGTAGCTGATTTGAGGGGCAGCTGCAACTTCGGAGACTAACTTCTTGAATGGCCCCATGACCTTGGATTAATGTTTTGACCATCATGAGGGTAAGGTAGACGACAAAATGTGGATTTTTTGGGGAAGGTCTTTCACCTCCTGTCTTACCATAGGAGTGGAGCTGCTCGCTGGTCAGCTGCGGCGGTGTCAGTCCATGTCGAAACGGCTCTCCACCGTAAATGTTGGGGTCCAGAGTAAGTAGCTGCTGACGTGGCAGAGAGGGATATCCCAGTATCCCATCCATGCCATGAGTACTGGATCCATCTGATAGAGGACAATAATCCCCTTAGTCACACAGATATACAGCATATAGTTTTTTTTTATGTATTTATTTTTCTTGATGCTTCATTGACAGTGTAAGCTCTCACCCTCACTGTCGTCATTGCTCTGCCGGCCCCCTCTGCTCTGTCCTCTCCTGGTTCCTCCCAGCTGCTCCTGCTCCTGCTGCTGCTGCTGCTGTTGCTGCTGTCGGCGAGCGATCTTTTTCATCTGAGACACAATCACATTGTGATGAATTTCTATATGCATGTTGACATGTGACTTAAAACATGTCTTCATGAAAAAACAAGTAAAGTCTAACCTTGGCTCTCTGGTTTTGAAACCACACCTGCACAACCCGTACTGTCAGCCCAGTCTCAGCAGCCAGTGTCTCTCTCACCTGCAGGGGGAGATGTTCCATTGTTTTATCTTGAGACACTAGAACAATGAGACATTGCATTTGTCATTGATAACACAAGCTGGTCCACCCACCTTGCGGCAAGGCTTCGCAGATACTTCAAATGAGGCCTTGAAAGCGCGGCGCTGCTGCGTGGTCAAGATGGTGCGTGGTCTTTTAGAGCGCTTGTGCTCCTTGCCTTCATCACCAGCTTTCCCCCCACCGGAGCCCCCTCCACCGTCCTCATCCTCACTTTTCACTGAGGAAAGTAAGCAGACAACAAACAATCAGACCGTTTGAGAGGGTTTTTATTCTCAAGTAATTAACACTGCTGCAAGTTGTGGTCCTCAGTTAGTGACCAGTTGAAGTAAGAGTTTCTTCAGTGTTCAATGGCAATTTTTGTTAAGGTTCAGATCTGTGTGCTGTGCTACATTATGAAGTACAACACATCAAACCAAATTAAAAAACCTTAAAACATTTACATTTGTTACACAGTTTGTATAATTTACTTTAAAATACTATTTTGCAGTTATGTTGTGATATTGTATCAAATAGTTGTGTTATATGTCACTGACTCAGGGACCCACTAAGGGTCTGAGATCCCGTTCACTATATAACTTTTCAAAGCAAAGTTTGAGTCTGAGTCTGCAGGATTTCAGGAGCAATTTAGCAATATAGCTGGGAGCAAAGCCAGGAAGTGCTTTAAAAGTAATGATCTTAAAATCGACTGATACTTGTTAAAGGGATAGTTCACCCAAAATGAAAATTCACTCATTATCTACTCACCACTATGCTGATGGAGTGGTGGGTATTTGAGTCCACAAAACACTTTTGGAGTTTCAGGGGGAAACCGAATCCAATACAATTGAAGTAAATGGTGACTACTATACTAAATGTATAAAAACAACAGAAAAATACATAAAATGCCTCCATACTGCTTCTTTGGTGTTATTCAAGTGACCATAAGCCCTGACATCCAAATTTGACTCGAAATTGGCATCATGGTTGATGAGTGAATTTTCATTTTGGGGTGAACAATCCCTTTAAGGTGTGAAAGTGCTTATAGACTTAACCCTGAATACAAAGAGTAATCGTCAAAGTCAACTTTATTTTCATTTTGGATTGAAATGCAGATTCTCACTGATCCCTGGTGTCAACATATAAGAAGACAGAACATATAAGTATGCAACATATAGTCTAAACGAGATAAGCTAAAAGCATGGATGTATTATTTGTACTTTAAAGGCCTTTCAGGCGCTGCTCACTGGTTTCCTGTGGTGGAATATGATTGGAGATGAATGAATAATATGTTGGCTGCATGACGGTAAAAGAAAGAATGCAGATGTGTGCAGATAAACCAGGCAGGTTTTGAACTGAACAAGAGTACTGTACTTGATTCTGTTGGTGTCGGACTGATGGCGGCCAACATTTCCCTCTCCTTCTCGTAGTCCATGCGGCAGAGCAGTTGGCCTTCTTTCAGCACAAACTCATCACCTCTCTGAAGCCGACGTTCACACTCGCAGCAGCTGAAGCAGCCCAGGTGGTACACCTGGCCCAGCACGCGCATTATCAGCTCGGAGCGTCCAATCACCTGCAGGCAGGCGCTGCACTTCCTCACAAACAGCCTGCAGGAACACAGAGTGAGGTTACATGTGAATGATGGGAGTCAAGGAGTAGAGAATAGAGAGATAATTAAAGACGGTGGCTTTGATACATTTACACTCAGCTCCAATGATTCTGGAGATTAACATAGTCTCTTAATTAAAGGTCGTAGAAACATTACCCAATTCACAGAGCAACAAGGTGAACATCTGCTGAGAGGAATTACAGTAGTCTGCGTTTTTACATTGTATTTTCTTTTCTCCCTCATGACAGTAGGTGGCAGTAGAAAGCTGTTAAGAGAGGTCCCTGTTGTGAGTTTTTCTTTTAATTCCT